GTTTGGTTGTAGTAATTATAAGACTCTTAAGTACTACATCCGAATCTTTGATTTCTCGACGGAGAATTTCAATTATTTCTGTCTCCTTCCGTGTCAAATGAACCATCGTATTGATAAACTTGTCCTCGCGGTTTATAAGGGAGATCGGTTTTCGTTGTTGAAACAATGCAGTGTAACAAGGGAGATTGGGATATGGGTAACGAAGGAGAGGATTAGTAATAACAATGGGGACGGTGGAGAGGGCGTGGAGTGGATAAAGTTGATGACCTTGTCAATAACTAACTTTCCAAAGCTATTTGGTAAGTCTTATAGCATTAGTTACTTCATCTATGAGAAGACCTTATTCATGTGTAATAACGCGATGAAACTGGATTGGCTTGCATTTATATTGTGAGTGAAGATCTCTGCAAGAAGATTCAAATAGGTTCTGGAATTTTAAAGTGTTGTCAGTGTGTTTATACTCCCAATTTGCTCTCGCTTCCTTTATTTTGAGGATAGATTGCGTGCTTTGCAAGTCTAGTTTTTATAGGTCAGATTGAAGATTACTAGAATATTTCTTATATGGCTTCCCGATAAAGCTTGCCTCTTCGCTCGAATGGTGCTTCGGGGATCCTCCTTTTCCTCCGATGATACTCAGAGTTGCTTCCTCTTTTCGTCTCCTTAAGCATTTTCTTCATTGTTTACTCGCCTATGGACTTTTATGTAATATCGAGGTTCAACCGTTCAAGCGAACCCTTTAATTAAATGAGTAAAGATTTTTATATTATTTGCTGAGGACTTTAGGCTTTTTCTTCATAACTGTTTTATTTGAAAACACTCTGCTCCATCCAAAAAATAGTTTTAGCTATTTTACATGATTGCTTGTGCGACCATTTTTGAATTCTAGCAGAATGTAAGCTCGGAATTCGTACTAATAAACCTGAGGTGACTCTACGAGACTACTCAAGCTCATAGAGAACTTATCACTACGTGGCCTACTTCTTAGAGTAGACTTCCAGCCAGACTTATGTTTTCCTTTGGTATCCTTGTCCAGCCCCGGCTCAGAGGGTAGGTGTGACGGCGGGATTCTTTATTTTTTTTCTAAAAAATTTATATATAAAAAAGCCCAAATATTTTTTAAAAATATTATTAATCTGAGAATTATGTTTTAAGAGGAAGAATTTTTACAAAATTAAATAAATATATAAAAAGTCCAAAAAATTACATTGAAAAACAGCAAATTTTTGAAATACAAATAGCAAATTTTTGAAAAAAAATAATAGTAGACTAAATTTTTTTTTTTCTTGCCTGGGATCGTGTGTGTTCGCCGAAATCAGCGGGGGGACTGGGGATTCGCTCCGCAAGATAGATGAACACAGCCTTATTGTCGAAAGCGGGCTGGCGGCTTCTCCATGATGATGTGGGTTTGTGGTCACGGATTTTACGGAGCAAATATAAAGTTGGGGACTCAAGGGTTTGTAATTGGTTGGTAACTAAAGGTACTTGGTCGTCTACATGGAGGAGTATAGCTCTTGGTCTGAAGGAAGTGGTGCTTCCGGGTTAAAGCTGGGTGCTAGGAGACGGGAAGCATATCAGTTTTTGGGGAGATAAATGGTTATTGGATGCGCCATTATGTGAGGTTGCTACTCGGGAATTACCAGGAAATTGGAAGGAAATTAAGGTCAGCGACGTTTGGCGTAATGGTACGGGTTGGGATTTTCAACGGATTAACCCTTTTATTCCGGAGAAAGCGCAACTTACACTAATGTCTATGGTGGTGGATACAGTAACATGAGCAAGAGATAGGCTGTCATGGGGACAGTACCGGCCCGGTGAATTTGGGTGTCCTAAGCAAATCAAAGCCCATGAAAAAAATTATTTTAAATTAGATTTTTACCATTAAAAAGAATGTTTTAGTTGTCTCTAAAAGCGCACAATATTTTTAAAAGGCCCTACAAAAATTATTGTATATAAGAAAACTTAACAAATGTTTAGGTAAAAAAGCCTTCAAATTTTGAGGCCCTAATCGGTGGCTTCGGTGGCTTGCCCTCTGCGCTGGCCCTGCATGGGGAGAGTGTTCTGATGGAAGGTTTACGGTGAAATCGGCTTATTCTCTCCTTAGTCGAGACATGGTACAAAAACAGAGCATGAGAGCGTTTTTTCTACGAATTTGGAGAGTGCGGGTTTTTCTTTGGTTGGCTGCGAATCAAGTGTTGATGACAAATGTGGAGAGACAGCGAAGACACTTAGGAGACTCGGGCCTATGCACGGTGTGTAAGAGTGGTGAGGAGACGATTTTACATATTTTGCGTGACTGTCCTGCTATGGCGGGAGTGTGGATTCGGCTCTTACCTCCACAGAGAAGACAAGTCTTTTTTTCTAAACCTCTTATGAATTGGATTTATAGCAACGTGGGAGATGAGACAGTGATTGGTGACTGTCCGTGGGCTACGACATTTTCACAGACTGCTTGGTGGAGTTGGAAGTGGAGATGTGGTAATGTCTTTGGAGAGAATGGGAAATGGCGAGACCGGGTTCGTTTCATTAAGGACTTAGCAAAAGATGTTTGGGCCGCACATAAAGCCTTGTCGACAAGCTCGGGTCAAGTAGTAAGGGTAGAGCAGATGATTGCTTGGACGCCGCCTATAGTTGGATGGTTCAAGCTGAACACCGATGGTGCCTCCCGCGTGAATCCCGGTCCCGCAACCGCAGGAGGGGTGGTAAGGGATGGGGAAGGCAATTGGTGCAGCGGTTTTGCGCCGAGTTATGGGGAATCTATTATGGCTTATACATAGCTTGGGAGAGATGTATTACATGCTTGGAGGTAGAGGTTGATTCTGAGATGGTGGTAGGTTTTCTGCGGACAGGGATTGATGATTCACATCCGTTGTCCTTTCTGGTACGCTTGTGCCAAGGCCTCTTATCAAAGGACTGGTCGATCCGGGTTTCACATGTGTATAGGGAGGCCAATCGTCTTGCAGATGGATTAGCTAACTATGCGTTCTCTTTACATTTGGGTTTTCATTTGTTTGCGTCATGTCCTGAGAATGTTAATTTGCTTTTGTTGGAGGATATTAACGGGTCTGCGCACCCTAGAAATATTCGTTTGTAGTTTGTAACTTCTTTTTAATAAAATGGGGGCTTTGTCCCCCTCCCTTACCAAAAAAAAAAAAAAGCTCCTAAATATATTGGGCCGAGGCTGCCTTGTCTTGAGGATAAGTGTGCTCGTTAAAATGCACCCACACCACTTGGACGACGCCTAAGGTTCTCTTCTAAGGATTTATTTTTGTTGGTCTTTATCTTTATCATAGAAGAAACTAAGAACCGTGTTTACTCCTGGAGAAAATTGGTAGTTTCTCTGAAAGCGGAGAGGACGATCAACACACCAATTTATCCGAACACGCACAAACTGCACTCTTACCACCGTTGCTTCATCAAAATCATGTTCCATGATGTCTCCAAGGGATCTAGCAATGCTGTCTATTTTGTATTGTTTCTTTTGTAATACAAATAAAAGAATATCCAAATTTGAATTTTAAAAATAAACATATATGTAGTTAAAAACAAACCGAAGATATAATAAATTAAGTATATGTTATATCAGACATCATATGCAAATATAAGAAATCACATTGTTTTTATATATTTCTCTTTTTTGATAAAAAAAGATAAATCACAGTAGTTGTTACTAACTCTTATTCGTAGATTTAAGAAATAGAGACATGATTCAAAATTAGTTTTTACTTTTTTGTTTCAACGTACCTAAACTATGGGTATTTTGTCCAGCAAGCATTTTCATGTTTGTCAAAAAAAAAGGTTATAAGTACCAAAGGCTTAGAGGCTTATGAAGGAGCTTGAAAGATTAGCCATGTCCAAACTCTTGATTCTTTATTTTTATTCTATCTCCTTAATTAACTTTATACCACGATCACTCACTCCTTGTTAAAATATACAAACATCAATTGATTTATCGCAAACACAATCTTTTCCACTTTAGCTTACTCATTCGCACCACCACCACTTTGTCCCAGCCACGATCCCACCAGCTCCAAATTTAATAACAGCAACGATTCAGAGATTTTTGTTAGCGACAGAGAAGAGATCTCGTCTATGAGTCTGAACACACGCTCCGTTGGTGGATTACAGTGCTCTGTTGGGAGCTTTCTCTGATCGAGTTATTCTTCTTCTTCGCCTGAATCTTAGAACTAAGCTCATCTTTTCGAAAATTTTCAAAGCTTTTGTTTAATTTTCTACGCTCTATACAATTAAGAAAGAAGAGTGCCATATGCAATCGTTTGAGACTATTGTTCCGATTAGGGTTTCGGTGTCGTAATTAAATGGCTCCCTCTCTCCTCTGGCGGTCGGGTGTGCATTGCTCGTCACCTCGTTTCTAATTTAGAGCATCGACAAGATTTTTAGAGAGCTCAATTTGGATTCTTTTACTGTTTTTTTTTGTGGGCACTTGGTTTGTATACAAACAAAAGTAATTGGGCTGGGCCAGAAAGTATTATCAGTGAGAGAGAATGACGTGGAACGGAGAAAGATTATTAGACCACCATTATCCATGGCTAAAAGCTCTTATATAAGAGTTCTTTCTTCACAAATCTTAGCTTAAGATTTGGCTAAGATTCATCTAAGAGCCCATGGATAATGGTGCTCTTATTGGACAAAAATGTTGAGATGTATTAATTGTTATGTTTTGATTGAATATCCATTTTAATGATGTGTCAGTCCGAGAAGAGCTTAAAAAGCTGAGGTGTCAAGCTTGGAGAGACTCTTAGAAGTTTTATCGTATTGATTAATAGTTAATAAAAAAAAAATTTCACTCACTATTACAAATATCACATATTTAAAGGATAGATTGTTGAGTGAATTGCAAGTCTTTCTTTTTATTATTATTAGGAATCAAGATTGATATTAAAACTGATGACAAAAAAAGAAAGGAATCAAGATTGATTTCATTAGATAAATGATATGTCGAATGGATGATTCCGTACAATATCGTAGTTGGGAAGAAGTCATAGTGAATATTACTGAAATGTATTAAATCTGAACTTCATTGTATTTAAAGACACAGTCGTAAAGTCGTCCTCCGAGAAACTGTGCTACTTCAACATGCTTCACCTTCATAACCAAAGGATGTTCATGAGAAGTCAGAATTATAAGAACTAAACAGAGAACATTTCTTTCATTACTCCGATGAAGAATAAAAGAGAGTAACGGTGACATAGCGAAAGTACTACCATTCCGATCTTGAGAGAATCACACTTGAACTGAGCATAAAGGTTTGTCTCGATCCCACGACCCTGAATAGAATAAAGCCAAGACTAGTTAAGTAGTTGTTAAAATCGCGCTTCACTTTCACACTGTAATGGCCTTACCATGCCTTCTAGGATGACTAAGTCTGCATCAGATGAAAGGTAAGCAAGCTCATGTGATACTCTTGAGAGATCGATAACCTGAAACAAATTTCGAGAAGAAGAAGAAAAAAAACCTTAAGAATCTAATGAATAAATCTATGTTTCTCTCTGGGAGCTTCTAATGTCTTACCGCTAAATCGTTCCCTGAATTTGCAATCAGAAGCTTTGAAGTATCAACGCCTATCAATTGGCCATTTCCATCCTTCAACTGGTAGACTAAGATTACTAATCAGATTCACTTTTCTTTGAATTATTTAATATCAAGAATTACTATATTCATTACCTGCGACACAATATCTGTAAGCTCGGTATATGTTACATCGTTGATAGCTGGCAGCTCGTTAGCAGCCAGCACCACCTTCAAGAAGAAAGATGAAGAGGAAGAACAATTTAGAGTAACCAGAAGCTCACTCAAGAGACGGTGACAAAAAGACATAGTCATTGCCAAAAGTACCTACCTGAGTTCCTCGACGGAGCAGCTCTCTTGCAAACGGCAAAATACCCAAAATTATGTCTGCACCAGAATTATCAACAAATATCACTGCCTGCCATGAAAAAGAGAATACAAACAATTAATTTTGTCAAGCGGTTAACCTCTGAAGTCTGAACATAGCATTAGATAAAGAAGAAAACAGACGACTGACCTTCTTCCAAGGCTTCTTGATCCATTTGGCTTGGAAGTTGTCCAAGTCATCAATGACCCATGGTCGTGGAACCAAGTTTTGACATGTAGCCAAGAAAGATATGCCATCCTTTGAGAAAGCCTCAGCAAGCTTCAATATGCGAAAAGAAAAGAGCCCGTAATTAGGACAAGCTTTCCTGTGGGAGCTGAAGAAACCAGGGTTGTTAAGTAATAGAATACCTGTGCAGAACCTAGATCAAAGATGTTTCCAGCAAATATCCCTCTCACCAAATTCTCTAACCGTTTTCCGTCATCTTCAATAGCATCACTCAGACTGACAACTTCAGGAAATAGTGATATAGCCTTTGCATTCTCTTCATCCTATTTCAATTTCATCAATGAATGTGAACTCATCTAATCAGAGAGAGAGAAAGAGTATCTTAAAACCTCAAGAGCCCTTGAAAAGAAATTCAAACCTTAACTTTCTTGAATATGTCCTTAAATCCAAACTCTCTGAGTAAATGCTCACGAACTCGGCCAAGCATCTGAAAACAAGCCCGAATAATCCATGACAACAAAGCTCACTACACCAGAGACAAAAGATCATGAGGTGTTTTGGACTTACAATGCCATCTGGTGGCCCGCCATTGCTCTCTGGATCTTTCTTCCAATCTTCAAGAATTCCCGCATATCTTCCAGATTCAAAGTAAGACATATTAAACCGCAGGACACAAAACTCGTCTAGTTTATGAAGTGACATTGCCAAAACATTTCTTACAAACCCTTGAGAATTACCACATTCATACGCAAAAAAAATGTACCTTTCTGCAAATATTTTAGCTCTGGCAGGAGCATCTGGAACAGTGATATCGCTCTCTGCTCGTTTCCTGCAAATGAGACACCTTTAAAACATGGAGAATTATGGAATATTTCTTGTTAAAATCAGGATTTCAACTGTTGCCTATAATCTTCCAGATTCAAGCTCAAAGATAAAAATTCATGATAACACATCAAAGTCAAAGCAACAACTAGCAAGACAACAGTAACTAACTTCACGCGTTCCAATTCAAGCAAACCATTTGGATATGAGCCTAAAAGGAGAAATTTTTTGGTAACAAAATCAAAAAACTTGATTCGACCCATGAACAGTATCTGAATCTGGTCATAGTAAAGAGAAACCAAATTTGGAAGAGAGAGAGAGAATGAACTTGAAAGAAGGGATGGAATTAGCGAAGACGTTGATCCACGAGATTTCAGTAGGAGTGGCTTTCTTGAGATTATCACAAGGGAATCTATAAGGAATGGTGCAGGCTCTGTAGTTGGTTTCAATCGGCGTTGGTAACAGAGGAAACGGAATCATCTCCGAATTGTTAACGACGAAGAACGAGTGTCTATAGAGCCGGGTCGGGTACGGGTCAGTGTTCGGATTGTATTTAGCACTTTAAATAGTAGCCAAGTTCCAAACTTTGTGATGATTGCATCTCTCGGCACACTAGCTAAAAGCCACTCTGCGTTTTTAAAAAACTCTGCTAATGTTTTGCCATTAGAAGTTCCGGTATGCAAGATTTCACAGTTGAGATAAGCTAATGTTTGAATAAAATCCACTGGCTATAACTTTGTTATGTAGATTCAAGTCAAAGAGAGAATACGGAAAAAATGAAGCAAGACATATGGATGTTGTTACTTATGTTCCACGAGAAGGACATAAGTAGAGAAATTATGGAAATAGGCAAAAGGTACCACAGTATGTAAGTTTTAGCTGGAACCTGGCTCACCCGACTGTCTATCAGCTTGAACACAAGCAAGAGCACGGGTTTGTCGTACAGACACTATCTTTTACTTCTTCCTTTTATGTTCTGAAACTCCTTAGACTTAAACCTGCTACTGCGTGCTGGTTTTTCCAAAGGACCAAGCTGCTAGAACAGGAGAGGGCACTCTAGGAGTTCACGGTAAGTGCTGTTATCTTCATACCCCAAACATTTGTCTATTATCAACAAACCAAAAATCACAGTTCATCACTCATGCATCCTCACATCTTTACCTGGTCATCTTTGGTTCTCTCCATACCATACGATGCTTGCACATTCAAGCTAAACCACCTGAAAATATACTTAGCAACAAAAGAATATGGAAAGACATGTCCCCGTGTTGCCATTGTGTTTCCTACAAACATTTATACTAAATAAACTACATCCATCATTCAGAAAGGCCTCAACTTCTACATGTCAGTATGAAGAAACGCATATATGATTTGACCAAAACAGAGAAGGAAGCACAGTGAATGATCATAGAACTCGGTTTGCTAAATATACATACTTTCTTCATTGAAACTAAATAGATAAACCAAGCATAATTCAACAAGTGCCTTTCCACTTTATCCATCATAAGCGAAAAACAAAGCTTTTTCTTATTGAATTACCATATCAAGATGGAAAGGAGCATAAAGTATTACTCTTTGTATCCTATGTTTTGAACCCGATTCAGTAAAAAATCACAGTAGGGGAGAAGTGAGACTGGCGATTACTGAAATATAATTAGCTCTGAACTTCATTGTATTTGAAGACACAGTCATAAAGCCGTCCTCCGAGAAACTCTGCTACTTCAAGATGCTTCACCTGCATAACAAAAGGATGGAACATGAGAAATCAGAAATAAGCAATAAACACATAACATTTCTTTTCATTAATCTGATGAAGAAAAAAAGAGAGTAACGTGACATGGTGAAACTACTACCATTCCGATCTTGAGAGAATCACACTTGAACTGAGCATAAAGGTTTGTCTCAATTCCACGACCCTGATTAGAACAGCCAAGAAGTCAGTTAACAAAAAAACCAAGACTAGTTAAATAGTTAACTCACGTTTCACTTTCACAATATAAATGGGACTTACCATGCCTTCTAAGATGACTAAGTCGGCATCAGATGAAAGGTAAGCAAGCTCCTGTGATACTCTTGCGAGATCGATAACCTGAAACAAATTTTGGGAGGGGACAAATAAGAACCCAATGAATAAAATCATTTTGTTCAGGGACTTTCTAATGGCTTACTGGTAAGTCATTCCCCGAATTTGCAATCAGAAGCTTCGAAGTATCAACGCCTATCAATTGGCCATTTTCATCCTTCAACTGGTAAATTAAGACTAAAAAATCAGATTCACTTTTAAAAGCTGCGAATATCAAGAATTACTCATTCATCACCTATTCACCTGTGACAAGATCTCTGTAAGCTCGGTATATGTTATGTCATTGATAGATGGTAGCTCATTAGCAGCCAGCACCACCTTCAAGGGGAAAGATGAAGAGGGTGAACAATTCAGAGTATACATAAGCTCACTCAAGAGACTATGACAAAGACTCAGTCATAGTCAAAGGTACCTGAGTTCCTCGACGGAGCAACTCTCTTGCAAATGGCAAAATACCCAAAATTATGTCTGCACCAGAATTATCAACAAAAATCACTGCCTGTCATGAAAAAGGAAAGATAAAAAATTGATTTTGTCAAGCGGGTAACCACTGAAGTCTGACCAAAGCATTAGAGAAAGAGCAAAACAAATGAGTGACCTTCTTCCAAGACTTCTTGATCCATTTGGCTTGGAAGTTTTCCAAGTCATCAATGACCCATGGTCGTGGAACCAAATTTTGACAGCTAGCCAAGAAAGACATACCATCCCTTGAGAAAACTTCAGCAAGCTTCAAGATGTGAAAAGAAAAGGGCCAATAAATTAGGACATGCTTCCTGTGGGAGAAACCAAAGAGAGGCGACTGAAAGATACCTGTGCAGAACCCAGATCAAAGATGTTTCCAGCAAATATCCCTCTCACCAAATTCTCTAACCGTTTTCCGTCATCTTCAATAGCATCACTCAGACTGACAACTTCAGGAAATAGTGATATAGCCTTTGCATTCTCCTCATCCTATTCATTGAATGTGAACCCATCTAATCAGAGAGAAAAAGTGCTAGCTATCTTAAAACCTCAAGAGCCTTTGAAAGGAAATTCACACCTTCACTTTCTTGAATATGTCCCTAAATCCTAATTCTCTGAGTACTTGCTCACGAAGTCGGCATAGAAGCTGAAAATAAGTCAAATAACCCATCAAAACAAAGCTCACTACACCAGAAGAAAGGATCAAGTGGGTGTTTTGACTTACAATGCCATCTGGTGGCCCGCCATGGCTCTCTGGATCTTTCTTCAAGTCTTCAAGAATTCCCGCATATCTTCCAGATTCAAGGTAAGAGATATCAAACGCAAATCCACAAGACTGAAACACTATCGTGTGTATCATATAATTCAAGGGCCTTCTGAAAGTATGAAAAAACGCAAACCACAGGGAACAAAATCCGTTCTAGTTTATGAAGGTGACATTGGCAAAAGATTTCCTACCCAATAAACCTCTAGAATTACCACATAGGCACATACATACGCAAAAAAAAAAATACCTTTCTGCAAATTTTTCAGCTCTAGCAGGAGCATCTGGAACCGTTGTATCGCTCTCTGCACGTTTCCTGCAAATGAAACAGCTTTAGAACATTGAGACCTATTGGAATTTTCTGGTTAAATCAGGATTGCAACTGTTTCCTACAAGCTTCCAAAAACTACTATAGCTTCCTCGTAAATGTAAGTAACCAAGTCAAAAACCAAGTAAACCCAGGAAAGTCAACACACACAACAAACCAACGACATTAGTCGAATTTAGCTGAAGGACTAAAAATTTCCTGAGCTTTTTGATATATGAGCCTAAGAGAAGCAATTGTTGGTAGCAAAATCAAAGCTTGGTCTGACTCTGACCCATGAACATGATCAGAATCTGAATCTGGTCAAAGTGAAAAGATAACCAAAGGTCGAAGATAGAAGCAGTGGGAAGAGAATGAACTTGAAAGAAGGAATGGAATTGGCGAAGACGTTGATCCACGAGATTTCACTAGGAGTGGCTTTCTTGGGATCATCAGAAGGGAATCTATAAGGAATGGTGCAAGCTCTGTAGTTGGTTTCAATCGGCGTCGGTAATTGAGGAAACGGAACCATCTCTGAATCGCTCTCCATTTTCTTAGCTTGTGATGATCTTCAGAAATGATTGATGACGATGAAGAACAAGTGTATATAGAGCCGGGTCGGGTACGGGTCAAAGATCCAGATTAGTGTTACCACGACCACACGAATTAATGTTGCATTTTCTGCGTTGGGTTTGGTTTGGATTTTAGTTTAATACTAGTGTCAAAGATCCAGATTAGTGTTACCACGACCACACGAATTAATGTAATAATGTTGCATTTTCTGCGTTGGGTTTGGTTTGGATTTTAGTTTAATACTAGTAGCCAAGTTCCAATCTTTGTAGTGTTTGTTTCTGCAACTACCTAAAAGCCACTGAGCATTTGTTTGAGGGAGTGTTAAGGTTTTTGTTCTATACAATTCAGTCATCTTTCGTCTCCAAACGATTTGATACCTTATCTGTGTTCAGCTTTTAGCTGAAGCAGCAATCTGAATTGTAGAAACCATTGAAATGCCTGCATTACAGAAGAACTTGCTGTTCGCTGCAGCTATTTGTCGAACGGAATATCAATGCTCTCTTGGATTAAGGAGAAACCTGTTTTGGTAAGCAAATCTAAAGGAAGCTGGAGAATATAGAAAACATTCATATGCCATAAGTTCAAGTATGCAGGAGTTTACAAAGAAGCTTTCCCAGTTAGATTTAGTCACTGATCCAATATCAACCTAGCCCCAACCCCTAATGCTTGAATAAAGCCACTGAGTTAGAAAGTTTGTTTTAGATTCAACTCAAAGAGAGAATGTACAAAGTAAAGAAAAACCTATGGATATTTCCTTCTGATAGATACATACCGATGTCCGTCGGACACATTTCTCAGTCAAGCAAATCTAACAGGACCAGGAAAAATTCATCCTTCGGAATAAGATATACAAACCTAAGTAAAGAAATTAAGAAACCAGCAAGAAATATGGATATAGGTACAATGTACCACGATGTAAGTTGTAGCTACAAAACAATTATTCCTATTGTAACATAGAGGATAATGGACCTAGCTCAACAGTTTGGCTATCAGCTTAAAAACTAACAAGAGCACGGCACAACCTTCTACTTCTTCCCTATGTTCTGAAAAGTGAAACCCCTTAGGCTTGCTACTGGGTGCTGGTTTCTCAGAAGACCAAGCTAACTATAACAGGAGAACGAATTCTAAATGCTGATATCTCCCTAATCCCTACCCCAACACATTTGTTTATTGTTTAACTCTCTTCAGTCACCAATCAACATGATACATACTAACACCAATAATCACTGTCAACAATCACTCATGCATCCTAGCATCTTTACCCTGGCCATCTTTCGTTCTCTTCATGCCATAAGATGTTTACAGAATCAAGCAAAACCACATGAAAAATCCTTAAGAACAGAAGAAAACGGAAAGATATGTTCCGGCGTTGCCACTGTTTTTCCTCCAAACATCTATACTAATCAATCTACATCCATCATTCAGAATGACCGTGATCTAAAAATACCCCAATTTCTACACAGCAATCAACAGAAGTTTGTATAGAGCAAGGAAGCACCTTGAAGTGATCAGAGAACTCTCTTTCCAGAAAACACAATACTTTCTTCATTGAATTTAACAATTTACACAAACCAAGCATAATTCCAACAAATCCCCTTCCCATTGCATCCATCATAAACGTAAGAACAAATCTTTTCCTTTTGTGCCCTATGATTCGAATCCAGATTCCAATTTCGAACCTCATTTCTTAGCCTTAGAGAATCTAAGACACCGATATTTCTCACCACTCACAGTAATTTCAAGAGCACCATCTTGATTATCCTGATTCGACGCAGTCCCCATGAGAACACTCTTCTCCTTCTCCAGATTCTCTCTCTCCATCTTCAACCTCGCTTCCTGTCTAGCAATCTCCGTCTATCAAAAATCATAAAAAAAAAATCAGTATCCCAACACAGATTTCCCCAAAAAAACCCTAAAAATCAAAATTTTTAAAAAAACGAACCTCACGGCGAGAGAGCTCAGCTTTCCAGGCAGCTTCTCGCTCAGCGACTTCTCGCTCACGCTCTTCGATATAACTTTGCATCTCTCTCTCCTTCATGATCCGATCTTGTATATCAGCGTCAAGTGCTTGCTTTAGCTCCTCCACAAACTTATCCACCACTAATTTAATTCTCAGCGACATCGTTCGTCTTCGAAACAAATTCTAACTATATACACACTAACCGCTGCTACACATAAATACAATCTCCTCTTCTTCTAATTCTCCGTCTTTTAATTACGGCGGCGCTTCACCGACGGGAAGATTCCGATCTTTTCTCGTTGAAGCTTGCGTGAGAACTGAGGAAGGGGACACAGACATTCACGACCTTTTGTTTTTTTTTTCCTCTTTCTAATCTTCTTCTTCAGAGAGGGAAAAGTAAATAAAAGCGGGCTCTTATTGGGCCTATACTGGGCCTGTATACATTAAACATAGGTCACACGTGTGGCAGCGGATTTTTTGGATTACACATGTTAAAAACTTAAAATTAGGGTTTTGTGTTTCGCTTCTTCTGAAACCCTAGAAGATATAAGTGAGACTGGTTTGCTCAGCCGCGGAGAACTCAGAACTCATTCGCTGCAAACATGGTTCGTAATCTTTGTCTCTTTCTCTAAGTTTCATATTCACAAGCGAATTGCGTCATGTGTTCTTTTTGGTTTTGGATAGTTTGTCTTAATCTGTGAATTCATTTTTGTGCCGGACGATAAAATCTCTGTTTGTATCTAGATAGCATTTCCATGTAATGATGGGTTCTTGTTAGTGTTTATAAAGTTGATTGCTTTGTGCGATCTGTGAAATGGGTGTGGGATCGATGTTGAGATCTCAAAAGATAGGATTCAATTAGTCAGATATGGAACATCACAGGCGTTATCCTCTTGTTCTGTGTGATTTGAGGTCTTGAGTGATGAGACTTTTAGTGATTGAGCTATTATGAAGATTTATTGTGTTTTGAATTTTTTATATTTGTTCGATTTTTTTTGCAGGCAAGAGGTTTGAAGAAGCATTTGAAGAGGCTCAATGCTCCTAAGCATTGGATGCTTGATAAACTTGGTGGTGCCTTTGTAAGTTTCACCTGTGTTGGACTGAATCTTATTAGAGCTTATTTTCGATTCTATCGGTGCTTATAATGCTGTTTCTGTCCAGGCCCCCAAGCCGTCTTCTGGGCCACACAAGTCTAGGGAGTGTTTACCCCTGGTTCTTATCATCAGGAACAGGTTGAAGTATGCCCTTACATACAGAGAAGTGATCTCGATCTTGATGCAAAGGCATATTCAAGTTGATGGGAAAGTGAGGACTGACAAGACTTACCCTGCTGGTTTCATGGGTGAGTCTGGCTATTGTTTTTTGTGCTGCTTGATGTTCATGCTTCTTGATCTAACTAAGGATGAATATTTATTTGCAGATGTTGTTTCTATCCCGAAAACAAATGAGAACTTCCGTCTTTTGTATGACACCAAGGGACGCTTCCGTCTCCACTCCATCAAGGATGAGGAAGCCAAGGTTTGTTCTCCTAAATACCTTACATTGCCTAATACTCAATCTGTCAAAACTAAGTCAAGTCTGTATTAATGAGATACATTGGAGGTCTGATGTATCTGCATGTTGATTACCAGTTTGTAATATGTTCCAACAAGTATCCTCATTTGTTGTTGTGCAGTTCAAGCTTTGCAAGGTGAGATCGATCCAGTTTGGCCAGAAGGGTATTCCCTTCTTGAACACATATGATGGTCGCACCATCCGTTACCCCGACCCGCTCATCAAGCCTAACGACACAATCAAGCTCGACCTCGAGGAGAACAAGATTGTGGAGTTCATTAAGTTTGATGTGGGCAATGTAGTTATGGTCACTGGAGGAAGAAACAGAGGGCGTGTTGGTGTGATTAAGAACCGTGAGAAACACAAGGGAAGCTTTGAAACCATCCACATTCAAGACTCAACAGGACATGAGTTTGCTACAAGGTTGGGAAATGTGTTCACAATCGGGAAAGGAACAAAGCCATGGGTGTCTCTACCAAAGGGCAAAGGTATTAAGTTGACCATCATTGAGGAAGCCAGGAAGAGACTTTCTGCTCAACAAGCTTAATACTATTCTCTGTTTTCCAGTTTCAGAACAAACCATGCTTTAGTTTGCAGCTTTTCAATGAGTCTACTTTTGTTTTAAAACTTATCTTTTGGGATTGTTATGAGCTATTTTTTGGACCTTTTGTGCTATTAATCTTGTGTGGAATTTCAACCTTTAATTTTTGAATTGACTTCTAGTATTTAAGGGCCATCCCATTTTATTAAACTTAGGGAAATCACAACCTCTGCTTACAACAGTGTGACAAATGTCACCAATAAACATGTGGCATCATTCTAATTGATGTTTCAATTCAAATTTCCGATCTCGATGTCATTTTTTGGTGTGGGAAAACAAGGTTCATGGGTGTGTATGGTTCGTACGTTCAAGAAAGTCTTACATTGATTTTGGTGCACAAGCCTATACGTGTCTACTTTAAGAAGACTCCAGTTATGTTAATATCGTTATTGTCGCTAACTTCACGTGGGTAGTAGTGGAGTGTTACTTTAAAAATCGTTAGTAGAAAGAAGATGCTCAAAGATTCTTCTCGTTGGTGACTTGGTCACAACAAAACTAAAGTAACAACAAAAACAACACTGACGTCAATGTAGAACAAAATGCCTCGGAAATGCAAGAACACTCGGGTATTATTTATTGAAAACAAAGTATCTCTAGTATGATATCAAACGCCATGCATGCATCTGTTTTAACTTTTAAGCTCGGGGAAATTATAAGAGTAATCAATAAAATACTCATCATTATACCATTTTATACTTTTCTTAAAGTAATGTTGTTTAATTTGGGTTTCGATTTTTCAATGATGTGGCAATGAGTCAACATCAACCCAAAGTTAGTAGCTCACTTCATTGAAATTTTGTAAGAACTATAATGTGAGTTCTGCGATCCAGTTTCCGAAATGGGCCAGAGTTTATTGTTGATGGGCCTAAGCTAAGTCTAGAACAGGCCCAACACAGGAAGATAAGCTCAGGTAACGGTCTAAAGTCACAGTCAACTTTTCTGCGTTTGTCTTCACTCCCAGGTACGGATACAACACTCCATTAGGCGATAAGATTTGTTATGCCTAGGTTAAAATGTGAGCTGTAAGGGGAGCGTACCTAAGGAGTATAAAGAGGTGAGCAGAGGGTGGTGACGAGTGAGAGAGGGTGTGAGTTGCAAGTAGAAATAGAGAGAGATTAAGAGAAAGAAGCAAGACCTTATTTTCTTCTTCTCGGTTGTGTAATCTCTAGGCTACTCTGTTGTCTGGTTACTTGTACTCGGTATTTCAAACACTCTATAAAACCTTGTGAGCTGGTTAGTAAGCTCACCAAGACGTACCTTGGTCACATTGACCTTGGGAACTTGTAAATCCTGTGTCATTTCCCTTCTCTTCTCTGTTTTCTTCTTCTGCAAACAAACACAAACAAGAGCAAGTTTAGCAACAGACAAACAGCAAGAAAGGAAGAATCATCAACAAATGGTATCAGAGCCTCGTTGGAAACGTTAAAGGTGGTGTTTTTCCTCTTAAAGTTTGTGTTTTGTCTGAGTATTTATTGAGGATCTAGATCAGCAAATAAAGGTTTCTTTTTTATTTGGTTTCCGATCTAGGGTTGTTCGGTGAATAAATACTAGTGTGATAAATCTAGTCGCATATCTGGTTAGTGGTCTGCAAGGTGTGGTTTACTCTGTAGTAAGTGGTGTTCTGGATACCTCTCTCTTTGACTGGGTTCTGATCAGATCTGGTGTGGTTAGGGTTGATGGATCCTACTCGGGGTAAGTTTGAAGTGGATAAGTTTGATGGGGAAGGTGATTTCTCTATATGGAAGCACAGAGTGCTGTATACTCTAGAGATTCTTGGGTTAGATTCAGTTTTGAGAACTGATGAAACAACTACATCTGAAGAAGAGGAGAAAGTGGATAAAGAAGATCCTAAATGGATAGCTAAGGACAAGAGGGTAAGGAATCTCTTAGGCATGAGTGTTACTGATCTTGTGTTGAGAAAAGTTATGAAGAACAAGTCAGCTCAAGAATTCTGGGATGCTCTAGAATCTCAGTATCAAGACAAGTCAGTCCCAAACAGATTCTACCTAAAGCAGAGATTCTACAGCTTCAAGTTGGAAGAAGACAAGAATCTAGACAAAAACTTGGATGTGTTCAACAAGCTTGTCTTAGATTTGGTAAGTCTTGATGTTGAAGTAAGTGATGAGGATCAAGCTGTTATACTCCTAAACAGTTTACCATCACAGTTTGCTCAGCTAGTGCATACTCTGAAGTATAGAGGAGGAACAAAAACTATAACTCTAAAAGAGATTGTTCAATCCGCTTATTCCTTGGAGACAGAGCTGAAGCAGACATGAACCTATCTACCAAAGTCAAGTGGTGAAGGTTTATATGTCCAACATAAACCTAAGTTTGAAAAGAAGACAAATCCTAAAGCAAAGGTGACCAAAAAGGGAAAGGAAAAGGTTAAAACAAAGAAGGTGGTATGCTGGATTTGTGGAGGAGAGGGACATTTCAAGAAGGATTGTCCAAAGAAGGGCCAATACAGTGGAGAAGCTGGTGTTGGTCAGGCCATCGACTCTAAGCTAATGATGTTGATTGCCTCAGAAAATCAAATAAGAGACGGATGGGTGCTTGATTCAGGATGTTCCTATCACTTAACATTCAGAAAAGACCTCATGTTTGATATTGAAGAAATCAATGGAGGAAGAATATTGATGGGAAATGATACCTACTGTGTGATCACGGCTATAGGGAAGGTGGAAATTGTTAATTATGTCAACACTATAGTCATATTAACAAAGGTGAGATATTCAGTTACTGCTAAGAGGAATCTGATTTCCCTGGGACAACTAGAATCACAAGGCTGTTGGTTCCAAAGAAAGGATTCCAGGTTAAGGGTTTTTTACAATGATAAGGAAGCTCTAGCAGGTGATTATAAGGACACTCTCTATATACTCGATGGAAAACCAGTGGTGGAGCAAGCAAACACAGCTGTTAAAGATGGAGACAAGACAATGCTATGGCATAGCAGACTGGGACACACAAGTGGGAAAAACTTATAATTGTTAGCTAAGAAGGAGATGATCAAGTCTTGAGAGATCTCAGAGCTTAAGGATTGTGAGCACTGTGTTTTAGGAAAGTCACATAAGCTACCCTACAAGGCTGGGAAACATACATCAAAAGAAAATCTGGAGTATGTTCACTCAGATTTATGGGGGTCTCCAAATGTTACTCCAAGCCTGTCAAAGTGTCAGTATTACATATCCTTTGTGGATGATCACTCAAGAAAGGTATGGG